TAGCTGCATCACTCTTTGGAAGACGTTGGATTCGAAATTGCGTCCCTGGTCTGAGTGAAGTTCCAAGGGGACGCCAAACCTACTGATCCAATTGTCAACCAGTACTTTCGCGACCGTGACGGCTTCCTGATTTGGAATGGCATAGGCATCTGGCCACTTGCTGAAGTAGTCGCTAGCCACCAGGATAAACTTGTTGCCGTCGTTTGTTACAGGGAACGGACCGGCCACATCGATGGCGATTCTTTCGAAAGGTGCCCCAACATTATATTTCTTCATCTTTCCCCTCGCCCTGGTATGAGGACCTTGGCTGGCCGCACACGTCGTACACTTGCGACACCAACTTTCGACATCGTCACGATGACCTACCCAATAAAACCTCTCCCGGATTTTCGACAAAGTCTTGTTCACTCCGAAGTGGGCTCCAGATGTTCCGGCATGAACTTCCTCTAAGACCTTGGAAACCTTTACCTTGGGGAGTACCAGCATTGTCTTAGAGGTACGCCCATCAGGACTCTCCCACTTCCGCTTCAAGAGCCCATTTTCCATGACCAAGGAATCCCATTGGGCCCATAACGCCTTCAAACTGGGAGATTGGTCGGACAATTCTGCCCAGCCGGGTCGTTCGACTCCTTCCTCCTTCCACTTTAATATTGGCCCGATTATGTCGTCTGCTTCTTGTTCACGCTTTAGGCGCGCCGTTGTCCATTCTTCATCTTGCTCAAAAAGCGTTCGACGAACGGGCAGGTTCCCTTCTTCGGCGTCGATTCTGTCGCAGTGCTTGCACTCTCCGCACGGACGTCTTGACAAAGCGTCAGCGTTGTTGTGAAGTCGACCCGCTCGGTGTTTGATCCTAAATTGGTACTGCTGTAGTCTTTCCAGCCAACGCGCTACTTGGCCCTCGGGATTCTTTATACGCAGTAGCCACGAGAGGGCAGCGTGGTCGGTCCTGATCAGAAACTCCTGTCCGTATAGATACTTGTGGAAGTGGTTGACGGCTTTGACAATGGCTAGCAGTTCCTTCCTTGTGGCACAGTAATTTCTCTCTGGTTTGGAATGTAATTTGCTAAAATATTCGATAACCCTTTCCTCCCCATCTTGTATCTGCGACAATACGGCCCCAATTCCCGAGTTACTCGCATCGGTATCGAGGACGAACATTCCTTTGTCCCTGGGGTAAGCCAAAATGGGGCTGGTGCACAAAACCGTCTTCAGTCTCTTAAAGGCCATCTCACATGTACTGCTCCACTTGAAAGTCGCCTTCTGCTCCGTCAGTTGGTGTAACGGTGCTGCGATGTCGGCATACCCTTCTACAAATCGTCGGTAATATGTGCAGAGTCCCAAAAAGCTTCGTAGTTCATGCTTGTCTCTTGGTATGGGCCAATCCCGGATAGCAAGAACTTTCGTCGGGTTGGTTTCTATTCCTTTCTCCGACACGATATGGCCCAGGAACTCGACTCGTTTCTGGAAGAGTGAGCATTTCTTGGGATTTAGTTTCAAACGAGCGTTTTCCATTCGTTCTAGCACCTCCTCGAGATTCTTCAGATGGTCGTCAAACGTTTTGCCCATAATCATGACGTCGTCGAGGTATACCAGACAGGTCTTCCATGTCAATCCTTCCAGCACCATCTCCATCAGCCGCTCGAATGTTGCTGGCGCATTACATAATCCGAAGGGCATAACGGTGAAGTGATAGAGGCCACTTCCGGTGGAGAACGCAGTCTTTTCTTTGTCGTCCGGGTGCAAGCCTACTTGCCAGTAGCCACTCTTCAAGTCCAAGGTCGAAAACCACGCCGAGCCGGATAAGGTCGTCAAGGTATCGTCTATTCGAGGAAGGGGGTAACTGTCTTTCTTCGTGACGTCGTTCAGTTTCCTGTAATCGACGCAAAATCGGGTAGTCCCGTCCTTCTTGGTAACCAAGACTACTGGAGATGACCACGCGCTGTTGGATTCTTCGATTACCCCATCTCTCAACATGTTGTCCACGAGTCTTGTAGCTTCTTCTTGTTTGGCTAGGGGTAGTCTTCGAGGAGCCTGACGGATCGGTTGCGTGTCACCAGTGTTTATTCGGTGTTCTACGATGTTGGTCTTCCCGAATGGTTCCTCCTCTGAGGCGAAGACATTACGGTGCCTACGAATGAGTCCTTTGGCCAGTTTTCTCTCACGAGCAGACAGCTGGTCCCAGTTGACCTCCAAGCCTTTGGTATCCCCGTCCTTAGACTCATTCTCAACGTCTTCTTCCTCGCAGTTCAACACTCGGGCGACTGGCTCACACATTCCAATAATCTCCCCTTTTCTAATATTGACTGCATTGGGAAACACGTTTGCCACACGTATGGGTATGTCACGGTCGGTTTTGACTAGGGTGCTCGCGATCAGGAGCTTGTGGGTCGAGTCACTTGCCGGCTGCACCATCCCCAAACTGTATCCGGGGTTTGTCTCTACTCTGGCGGGGACGATGACTTCTGCATTACCATCTACCTTCGTTGTCTGACAGACCACTAGTCTGACCGTTGCAGCTTCCACATTCGGACGTCCCAACACAAATTCTTCGGCTCCGAAACGCAGAATTTTCTGTTCTGGGTCGATCATTAAACCATACCGGCTGATTAGGTCCATACCCAGAATGAAATCGTCAGCGATTTCCGCCACCAGAACTTCATGCCTTATTCGGAGTCGACCGAGCTCTACATTCACCACCGCTGTACCCAGAACCGGTGTTGTTTCTCCTGTCACCGTCTTTACATTCGTGGCGGTATATACTGAATTAATTTGGCAATTTTGTAACCTGGATCTGCGTGCAAGGGACACTTCGGCTCCTGTGTCGATGATGATCTTCGATTCCCGTCCATTGATTTTTCCGCTGATTGTCGGACTGTCGACGCTCCCCGCGATACTTCTAACCATTACAGTTGTTGGGGCTTCTCTTTTAGCAGCCAGTACGCGCCCCGAGGTACCGACTGCCTTTAGTTTTCCTGCTCCTGATGTAGACGAGGTCGCGGCTGCGATCTCCTCATCGGCCCTGGCGATCTAACACGGCAATCCCTCCTAACATGCCCTTGACGCCCACACCTGTAACATTCTAGGCGCCCTCCATGTTGTCTAGAACTGCCCGTCTTGATTTCGGCAATTATTTCGCGGGCGAATTTCTCAAAGTTCTCGCTCATTTTGTCGAGACTCTCTTGAATAGGGTTTACTTCGCCCTCAACCCCAATGCCTCGTATCTTAACGTTGGAACGAGGTGAGCTGTTGTATGCGGCGTCCACTTCTAACGCTCGAATCAGCGCCTCGGATGGTTTCTTGAACCCGGAGATTTGCAGGACTCTTCTTACCTCACTATCTCTTACGCCGTTTACGAAGGTTTCTGCTGCCAGTCTGTCTTGGAAGTCTTGCGGAGCTTCAGGATAGGCGAGGTGTACCAAACGTTTAACATCAGCCGCAAACTCCTGAAGAGATTCACTACTCTTCTGAATCCTAGATTTAAGCTGCGCTACGAAAACTTGCCGGAGGTGTTCATCTCCAAATCTGAGTTCGAGGGCGGTCGTCAAAGCGGTATAGTCCTTCTGGTTCTCTTCTGATAATGTCTGTAGAATCTCCAGGGCCGCACCTCGTAGTGCTACTACCAAAACGGTCGCTTTCTGTTGGTCATTCCAGCTATTCGACAAGGCCGCAGCTTCAAATTGCTTCTTATAAGTAGTCCACGACGTCTGCCCATCGAAAATAGGGGGTTGAACTCTCACCGGACTGAATTCTGCAGGGGTCGCAATTGTAGGTCGTGGTGTTTGCAACCTTTCTTCGAGCTCCTTGATCTTGTTTTCCATTTCATTTCTCACCTCGTCCACTTCATTTCGCACGACTTGGAGGATTTCGCTTCGGCTGTTCAAAAGTGTAGTTTGCATAGCTTTTAAATTTTCTTCCATTATTCTTTGATTTTCTTCCATTATTCTGCGATCTTCTTTTCTATTTTCTTCCATTATTCTTCGATCTTCTTTTCTACTTTCTTCCATTATTCTTTGATTTTCGCTCAACATTTTCATCATTTTTGTCAGTTGTTCCTCCATGTTGGCTGTTTGCGCTCTTGTGGTAGTCGGCATAAAATTTTCTTCTAGAAACTTCTAGAGCCTTGACAGATGTCAATTCTCGAAGCCAATGTCAGGTGATGAAAGTCTAATTCCGTTATTCCACTCTTACCGCGGGAGAGAATTTTCTCGAAAGTTCACTTTGTTCCGGTCTCCCCTAGTAGCACCAACCAAATTCGAATCCCGATTTATTTCACAGTTAATCCCACTTCTGACACCAGTGTTACGATTGACGGACGAATAATAAATCGGGCGTTGGTGAAACTCAAATATTTATTTCTTTAGCTCGAATTACAACACTATCTATTGCAACGAATATGTACAGAAATTATTCCGGCGCTCTCGACTGTCTTCACTGGATGAATGAATCCATTACCTACGGTCGCCTCTATTTAAACCCATAGTCTCTGATCGAGATCCTTCACGAACATCCATCGCGACTCCGCTTCGAGACTCCCCTGGACGCCGCTTCGAGACGCTCCAGACCTGTCTTTATGCGCCCGCCTCTCGGCCGTCAACAGCGATGATTCACCCATCAGCGCCGTGCGTACGTCCAGAAGGCTCTCGACCGCCATAGGCGTCGTACTGGGGCGGCGTAAGGGTGTATTTCGTAACAATAACTTAAGACACAATAATGCAATTTAACACAATACTCTTAACCGTAACCCTTCACAATTTACTCACCGTCCTTTACTATTAGTTCTGGGAGATTAGCAAATTAATTATAGCCGATTGGCCTTGACAGAAGCACAGTGTTCATCATTCATCAACAATCAACCACTTACACACCAAATTAAGCTGATTAGACAACAAACAATCCAACAGTTTTAGTAAAGTGACTGTATGCAGAAGCCTCCGTAATCACAAACCAGTTCCATTTTATATATTTTTTTTAAATCACTGATTTGTAATTGTATTTTTTAGGTAACATTCCTGATGATGCCCTTGGAAATTGGATGGGCTTCAACGGTGGCTTGGCACGCAGGTGACGTGATGTGCAGGATAATGATGTTTTTCAGAATATTCGGGCTTTACTTATCCAGCTTTATCCTTGTATGCATCAGTGTCGACCGGTAAGTATAAAAAAATATATGAGAATAGAAAGAGGGTGAAGAGGGCGTGTATTACATATTTATGGACGGTGTAGAAAAATTTTGTTGTATCAAAGTGCAATTGGTAGTTTTGACAATTTTTAAAATAACGTTCAGTCACACGATCCACAAGTAATAAAAATTTTGTAGATCATCGGCATATTTCTTTGCAATAATTTATAAATTTGTTTCTTTGGAAGTCGCTTCTGTTATTATTGCTTAAGAATTACAGAGGATTTTTGAAATTAAAAAGAGAGTGAACATGTGCCTTGAACAAAATGGCGAACATTTCCAACATTTACTGTGATGTTTAACCGAAATAAATGTGTTTTTTTTTATTGTAATGAATTAGCTTTATTTTTTTAAATATATGAAACATTTAGGCAACCAGTTATACAGAAGCGAGTGGTATTTATCGTGCGCCTTGGGCATTTAGTAAGATCCAAAATTGAGAGGCGGCAAGTGTTCATGACCTACGTGGACCATTACAATTATTTATTAGTGATAACATATGTGATCTGACAGTCACTGCAAGCGTGAAGGAAGGGATTAACTATTGCAGAAATTTTATTCAGTTGATAAGATATATCTGCTGTGTAATCACAATCTGAAAGAGTGCATTAAAATTCCAGTGGATTTCGACAGCAGTTTATACTTTATATGTTACAACCGTCTTCCTACACACTTGGTATATAAATTTGGGATATTCATAATAATTATTCAGACTATCTAAGTCTATTGCGTGTTCCAGTTTGACTTGGAAGCGTATAAAATTCGTAAGGAATGCATTTTAAATGAAAGAACTCGCGGCGGTGTTGTTAATTATCCAAAAACCTACTGATTTCTGAAGAAGTTGATATATGAATCTTACACATATTATCATAAAAGCGGAGTAATAACATCATATTATATAATATACCTGAACAACGTGGTTCTCTACCCAAATCAGAACGTCACGTCAGTGAAAAAAAATCTGTGGACGGCATATTAAAGGTCATCGATCCAAACTTTGATAATTCCGATTTGCAATGTTTTAAACTTGGAAAATTTCAGAATTCGCATATTAGACCGGTTAAAGTTACTATAAAATCTGAACAGAACGTTCTAAACATCATTCGCAAGGCTAAAAATCTAAACTCGTCTGAACAGCATAAAGATGTTCGTCTATCCTTTGATAGAACTCTAAAACAGCTAATATTGTATAGACAACTGAAACAGCAGATAAAAGACAGAATAAAGAAGGGGGAAACAAATCTAAAGATCCGGTGTTACAACGGTACGCCACGCATAGTACATTTAAACTAACTAATTCATCTGATTACAAACAGTTTTTTACAATATATTATCAAAATGTACGAGATCTACGCACAAAATCCATCACATTGTACAATAATGTTTCTGGTTGTAATTTCGATTTTATTGCGTTGTCGGAAACATGGCTCTCTTAAGAGATCTCTTCCAACGAGATTATACCTCAAGACCACCTAGTTTTCAGAAAAGATAGAGATTATAATTTAGTAGGAGGTTCAAGGGGTAGTGGTGTTTTGTTTGCCGTGAAAAATTCATACATTTATGTAGAAATTGATTTATCTTCAATTACTTCTGCTGTTCCCAAGATATACTGCATCGGCGTAAAAATTTCTTCAGTGTCCAGGAAACATCTCCTTCTATTTATCGTCTATATTCCTCCTTGCATTTCATTCGATGAGTTTGAACTCTTTTTAGATCTTCTTAGTAATGATGAGGGCATTTATTTGAACCAATTGATCATAATTGGTGACTTTAATGTTCCTTCCTTTGTGTTAAACACTAATGAGAGATTCTCAGTACTATTAAATTGCTTTGCTAGTCTTCTTAATTTATTCCAATATAATACTATCCGTAATATTTTAAAACGAAGTCTTGATCTAATTTTTTCCAATTTATCTCCTGGTGTCGCCAAGTCAATTAATCCTTTAATTAAAGAAGATGATTACCATCCTGCGTTGGAAATTCAATGTCAGCATCAAGTTAAACCTATTACTAGATTTTCAAATGAATTCAAATTCGAAACAGTTTAATTTTAGAAAAGGTAATTTCATTGAATTGTATAACTCAATTCTAACTACTGACTCGTCAAATCTTCAAAGCATCAAAAATATTAACGATGCATGTTCAGTATTTTGTGATTTATTGTATAAATCTTTTGACTCGTTCGTACCTATCTTTAAATTTAATAATACTAGACATCGCAGGTTCCCACGTTGGTTTACCCAGGATCTTATTAATTGTATCGGTCAGGAAAACTACTATCATAAAAAGTACAAATGCAATAAATCTCAATATTATATTGATAAATTTAAATATTTCGGGTCTCTATGTAAAGTTCTAACAATCACAGCTTACAAAAACTATATGCATAATATTCAAAATGAAATCTCTTTCGATCCAAAGAAATTTTGGTCGTACATTCATAATAAGAAAGGGAGTTTGAGAATTCCAGATCTTATGTTTTATCAAAACTCGGAATTATCCACCCCAGTTGACATCGTCAACGGCTTTGGCACATTTTTCAATAGCGTTTTTACTGTCTCTAATCTAAATTTAAATTTTAGTTTCATTGGTCCTGATTTACTTAGTCTAAACTTTGTGATCCCGGAAGGTCTGGCCAGATAAAGAATTGAACTCTACTTCAATTTTCTTCCAACACTGATTTTTTTTTTTGATTTGCATCAATTTTGGACAATTTACACTCCAGAATATTTCTATACTTGCTTACTAAAGATAGGAGCAAGTTTTCTTCGGATTTTGTAAAATTCGGAGCACGTGTATTACTCATCTGAAACGAAATGTTAAAAACCATCATAATCATCTACTTATTAACGAGCAAATGTTACATATACACATATACGTACCCCAGTAACGCAGAAAACTAATTACTTTGCAGAATTTGTCACAAATAATTTATAATAATGTGACATGATGACATAGATGACAACAACAACACACTTCCAACGTGCTCCCAATGTGGTCTCAACTGTCAGATTCTCGGGTGCGCGCTACCAACCTAAGGAAATTTGTGGTTCAGCTGAACCGGACGATAGCGGTGTTTGTAAAACGGACGCATGAATTCAACCTCAGTTCAGTTGAACTCAAGTTCAGTTGAACTCGTGTTGAACCGGACATTTGTAAAACCGGGCCTAACTGTTCCCACAAATTTTAGAAGATGAAATTCTTCAGGTATTAAAAACGTTTAAGGTATCGTTCACTTCTGGTGTTGATAATGTACCTAGCTTTTTATTAAAAGATTGTGCATACATTTTAGTTAAACCGCTTTATTATATTTTCAATTTAATGTTAACTTCATCAATGTTCCCAGATATATGGAAAAAGGCTTCTGTTATGCCAATTTTTAAAAAAGGTGATCCGGCGCGCGTTGAGAATTACAGACCCATATGTATACTTTGCAATTTTGCGAAAGCGTTTGAGTCAATATTATACAAAAGAATATATTCCAAAATAAAAAGCTTTGTATCACCTTTTCGGCACTGCTTTATTGAGAAAAGATCTACTGTTACTAACCTAACTACCTTCAGTCAATTTGTTTCTGAGGCAATCGATCATAAACACTAAGTAGATGTTATCTACACTGATTTTTGCAAGGTTTTGGTCAGATAGATCTTTACATCTTACTAAATAAACTCCGGTGTTTTGGTTTTACTGAACTCTTACTACGGCTTATGAAATCTTACCTTCAGGGCAGATAATTATTTGTTAAACATCGCAATTTTGTCTCGAATTATTTTTCACCTGGCTCTGGTGTACCACAAGGTTCCAAATTAGGACCATTATTGTTCATAATTTTTATCAATGACGTGGTTGATGTAATACTTAGCGACAAGCTACTCTTCGCTGATGACCTGAAACTTTTTCTTGAAATAAAGTCACTAAGAGACTGAACTGTTGCAAGAGGACTTAAATGGACTAATTTCTTGGAACAAAAATAACCGGTTATTTTTAAATAAAGCAAAATGTTTTATTGTTTCATATTCTAAGAAAGAGCACATTCTTAATTTCAATTATTGTATTGAAGGTGGACCTTTAATTCGTCTGGAAATCTTTTTTTTCCCAAGCTTATAAAATGTACGGGTTTATTTTTCGAAATTGCCGTGAATTCTCTAATGTACACGCTTTACTCACTTTGTTTAACTCTCTAGTTAGATCTCGTCTAGAATACTGTGCGTTGATCTGGCATCCTATATATGCTATACACATTCAACAATTGGAAAAGGTACAGAGAAAATTTTTGGAATTTGTTTCCTACTTGACATATGGTACCTATCCACCACAAGGTTGTGATCATCGTACGTTATTACGTAGATTTAATTGCTGTTCACTAAGCACTAGACGTACAACTATCATCATTAAGTTCTTGTATAACTTACTTAATTATAATAGCGGATGTGCATATCTGTTAGGCAAAATATATTTTTTATTACCTAGACTAAATAGTAGACATTCAGTTACATTCTATTCTCCTTTTTGTAGTTCTAATGCTTTAAAGAGATCACCAATACTACTTATGTGTAACTACTTCAATACCATAATATAATCATTTAGATAATTTAGGTTAGAAATTATATTTCTTGAATTTAGGTTTATTTTGTATTATTGTTTTTATAATTTATTTCTTTAATTGGGTGATTTACCCGTTGAAATAAATAAATTTATTATTTACAAAAGTTTTTGTCAGTCCGCTTCTATCCGTGTTAAAATTGGATTAAAATTTCAGAGTAGATTGAATTATTTCTTGTATTTTAATAATTGCGTTTTTTGGTTTTTTATCACGTTATTTTTCAATAACTATTCAAAATTTTGTATCAGTTTTTTAACTGTAATATAACCAAGTTTATTTTCATGAAAAAGGCAGCCGAAAATCTTTGTTAAGTCTAAGAACGACGCTAGACTTTCTTAGTATTGCGTCAAGTGTGGATTGGCCTTTCTTAAACCCATATAATTAGACCGACGAAATTAATTTTGTTATCTTATGCTGGAATTCATCTCTTTCTAAACTCCTTTGGTTTAAAAGGTTGTTACTGGAGTTAAATTGCAAAATTGTGCAAAAAAACATCAAGGCAACAGTTTATTATGTGAAAAAGTGGAAGTACGTGAAGGCACGGAAAATGTGGTATCAACAAAGTCAGAATCAGCCGTGTCTCCGCCGTTATTTGCATACATAATAATAAAATCTAAGACCGCTTTAACTGAAGAATGACGTGAACAAATTCGAACGTTAATGATGCAAATCGATAACAAAATGTCTGCTTCGACAACTACTGATAAAAAGTTGTAACCTATAATAATAATCGATAGGTAGCTAGTCTTCAAAAACACTAACTGATAAGTAAATTTCACCTCTAACGAAAGATCGAAAGACGAAAAACCTACATTCATTTAAGAAGGTAATTTCTTAAGAGAAGATTTTCCAGAAAACGAGTTCAAACTGTTTAAGAATGAGTTCTCAAGCAACAATTCCCGATTCAAGGTGAAAATAGTCTAATCTCGAAAAGAGAATTGGTATACATGGAATATACGGAATACAGTTGATAGTGGAGCCATAGTCATCAAATGAGAGCATGAAAGGTTTTTGCTTTGACGATTACAAAAGTAAAGCAAATTTTTGTAGGTCTCAACAAGTTCGCAAAAATTTATTTTGTGAGTAACATGATGATAGAAAATTTAACTTGAAATACATTGTAAATTTAACAACTACATGATCCTATCTGGTAACGCTAATTTTGAGGTGAATGGTAACAATTGGAATCTAATAATACTTCACACTCTCGAGTCATAACAACAGTTATTAATAACATTTTTATCGAATACCTGACACAACATTAACATTTTAGTATTATTGGAAGTGGAATATCAGATCACCATGAACTGTCAACAATGAACTGATGCAGCCCATGATAATACAAAACCAGTAAGGTAAAAAATTAAACAACAATTTCATAACTTAGAATTATTTGAATCATGAACGGAAATATATTTCATTTTAGTGATTTGACGTGGATTAATGAGAATATAAGAGTATAAACAGCAGAAAATTAAAAAGAATGTACAGACCTTCTATAACGTGCCCTCGAGCTCTAGTTAATATGAAGCACTTCAAAAACAACATGAAAAACTTATTTCATAAACTAAAAGACAATATTATGGCAGTGTTCTTTAAACTCAACCAATATCGGAAAAGATGCTTGGAAAATAATAAACTCCTGTAGTCCTAATAAAAAGCGAATAAACTTGAAAGAATTCAGATATGGTATTGAAGGTAAAAAATAAAAAGTAAACTAAATACTGCTAACCGCTTCAGGAACTTTACTTCCCGAGCGTTAACTAAGAAAGTATTGTAACAGAGTCGATCTGATGAATGGTTATTTTCATGTTCCATTTCCATCTGTCTGTCTGCCTGTCCTCTGTTGTCTGGATGTTGCTGTTATTTTATTGTAACGAACGTAATGATGAAAATGAAGAAAGCTTGCATTAATGGAAATTTTGGACTTGGTGAGTTCCGTTAGCGCAAATATGAACAAATCGGCGTGGGTAAAACTCAACAATTTATTTCTTACCAACTCAAATTTACACGACTAACTGCACAGCGATTATGTACAAAATAATTCCGGCGCAACTTGATTGGGCTCTGTCTTGACTGAATTGGCTGAAATAGTAATCGTTCCCGACGGTGGCCTCTATTTAAACCATACGTTCCTCTGGATGGATTGCGAACGTCGCTTCGAGGTTTTTCTGGTAACTCGCTCCAGACTGGTCTGACGTACATACTAGAGAGCTCTCGACGACCCATAGGCGTTATACCGGGACGTCGTATGGGTTTATTTCGTGACAATATGTACAAAACCTACAATAAACCACACAAAATACATTGTAATATTGATGTATTTAACAGTAATTTTAACAATTTCAAACACCATTGAAAGGATAATATTTTGAAAAGATTTTAGCTCCTGCTATCTGTAACACGTGATATGAGGTGCCGACCCTTTATCTCTTCCGTATTAATCTGTTGAGTTATTTTTAAGAGAATAATAATCTTAGTCGTAATGTACTACCAAGGTGTACAATTTGTTATATATTTTTGTTATATGTAACCATAAGATCTATATTTCGTATATTTTTTATCATAGTTTGAGCTTTGGCTTTGGCGGATATTTATAAATATTGTTATTGTTGATATTCTTAAAGCGTGAAATATCAGGATATTAAAACATCATACATTGTCTGTCTAAAATAAGATCGGAAACTTTTCATTCAATTTAGTGTTTTGAATGCCTGTGTTGTAATTTACAAAACAAACGTTATTTACATTCTTAAAATAAATTTATAAAAGCGAAACACGTTTGGATTTGGTGAGAAAACGTCCAATTTTGTCCATGAAAACAAGTAAACAGTTTTTTTTTTATCTCAATTTGATGGCAAATAACAGGCGTCGAAATGTGGTTGGAGTTTGAAAGACCGGCGAGTTTCTAATAACAGTAATAACAAAGCGTTTGATGAATGAACCTATCCGCTGGGTTTCATTGTCGTTTTTTTTGTTCATTTTTGCAACAGTAGTTACAAATTTACGAGTCTGTGTAACAAGAGCGAAATACAATTTTTCGATCTCTTTTAATCGAATGTTTTGTACGTATTGCAAATAAAAGCTTAATACCTGTGTTTCCGCGTTAATACTCATTAAATGTTTGATGTTTTATTTTTAAATTATGCTGTGAACCAATTTTCCTAAAATTATTACAGTAATTATTTTTTATACACGACATAAGTATACTCATTATAGTCCTATTATAGTGCTCATAAGTCATAAGACACTAGGACTTCATCATTTCTAGGACATCAGAGAAAAATTAGAAATACTCTTTTTTCTTACACTAACATCTTAACTATTTCGATGGTACATTTAATCTATTGTCTTATGTTTTTTAGAAAACTTTGGCTATAAAGTACGTCGTCAGTGGCAACGTTTCTTATAGTAATTTAAAATACGCTGCTGTATATTTTTCAAGAAATATTTTATTAATTATGTATATTTAATATATTTTCAAGAAATATTAAAAGTACAATTAGTGATTTGAAAAATGTGACCACCTTTTGAGGAAGAACTACTATGTTCCTCAGTACTTCTTGGTTTGGTTTAGTCCATCCAATGCAAGCATTCCACACTGAAAATTTTTCTAGCAACCTTTGTCGCTTTAATGAAGTAACATCTCCGCCTGCAATAAAATTAAATTACTTCAGATAAAGTAAACGTACTACACAATACTTGCATTAACCAAAAGAGTTGCCGAACTGCGACGAAACGAATGACCAGTGTAACTTGATGGTTTTTGCAGTTTACGAAGAGTTGCAATTTTTATAGGAATTTCCCCGAAGGAGTTAATTGTTTATAAATAAATATTCTCCATCATCCGCTTGCTTTAAAAATGTTGTTATTTCTTGTCGTGACAGGACCTTCACTTTTTTACATCGATAACAAATACTCAATTCCTTTAAATAAGGAATGACAGAACCAAACTTTTCAATATCTACATTTTGTTTGGCCCTCAGAGTTGCTTTTAACATCGAATATTCTGGCCACAAAGAAGCTGCGATTGTAAAGATGAACTTTTGCCACTGTAAACGTGTTATTAATGAATAATGAGCTTTTTAAAGACTAAGACGAACGAAACATACACTTTTTCGTATGCTTTTTTGAAATTTCGTAGGTCATATTTATGTTACTCCGCAAAACTTTATTATTATCATTATTAAGTCTTCTCCTTTTTTTTTATAATTTCATGTCGTGTCGTAGTAACCATTAAATCGAATTAAAAACATTGTTGAATAAAACACTACATTTTATTTTGATTTTCGATGTTGTAATTCACATTAGCATTAGGCTTAGCATCCCCTAGCCTCCCCCTAGCTACGGCCTTGTCTAGGGGTTATGAAATATCGTGAAAATATGAAAATATCAAATTGCCCGATGCACTCCATTACTGTACGTTCTTACTTATCTTCGATAAGAAAAACAACTTGAAAGTGTTTAGGTTTATACATCGGAAGAATGTCACGTGGAAATTAGTTTGATTTGCATGACTCCGTCCCCTCAAAATAGAGGATCAAAACTATTAATTAGTAAGCTACAATCGTCAAAATGTTCTTATAATTCTTCTTAAATAAAGAAGTATAAGCAAATCTAAAAATATGAATGCACTGATAAACTACAAGTATAGTCTTTTATAATAAATAATTATTACTCCTATTTATTTACTCGCATTAAATAAAAAAAAAAAAATTCAAAAATGTTTGCTGAAATTCTTGATTTTGTTATTACAGATTTTACGCAGTTCTAAAGCCCCTTTACCTCCGTGCACTCGACAGGAGAGACAAAGCAATGTTAGCAGGCGCTTGGATCGGTGCTACACTGTGCAGTTTACCACAGGTAAGTCTGAGATTAAACCCACTGGTTTCAAAGACTAATATAATGTTTCAGATGGTGGTTTTCCACGTTGAATCTCATCCAAACGTCACATGGTATATGCAGTGTGTGACGTATAACGTGTTTCCAACCCCCGCTCATGAACTGACATATCTGCTGTTTGGTATGGTAATGATGTACGCCTTGCCTTTAGCAGTCATCATATTTTCATATGCTGCCATCCTTATGGAAATATGCCGCAGAACGAGGAATCCTTATGGAGGTAAGATATTTGAGAATTTCGCGGAAACTTTAAACGTACAAAAGCAGCGGCATCGCAGTTCCTGTGATTCTGGATAATGATTAGATTAATTAAAGGTTTTTTTGTCCACAAAGGTAAACCGTCAAATGCAATTTAAATTGTTTTCATAACATGAAAATCTCGTCTCATCCTTTTTATGTTTCAAAGGTTTGAGGGGTAATTTTTTGTCTGTTGAGCTAAAAAATTTAATTGATGGTGGAGGCAGTAATAAATGAAACCCATTTCAATCTTACGGAAACTTTTGCAAGGATTTAAATGGAGACGTAAAAATATTGAAGCATTCATCAAGTGCCAGTGGTCGACGTGTTGTACATTTGTGTTACTGTCATCGACCAAAATGTTACTTTTGAAATTGTAAACATTTAAGTAATTACGCGAGTTTAATTAGCAATATTATAAAAGGTATTTTTTGCCAAGCTGACACAGATATTTTATCTAGAAAAATAAATGACTAAAATTTGAAAAGCCAGCATATTATCTAATGCAGCTTATTACAACATTATTAAATATACAGTATGTTAAAGACTCGTTTTACCACTAATACCTTATACTAATAATAATATGTTGTTTTCTATAAAGTATGTCGTATATTTTAAAATACGTTGTAGCATTTTCAAAAATATTTTTTGACTTAGTACCAATTTACCAGCAATCGTCGTCATAGACTAGTATTCACCCCAAGTAACAGTGGATCAAAAATGACTTCAAACGCGTTATTTATAGAAATTTACCATATTCTGTTAGTGTTAGAGAAAAGCTTTAAAGCAACACGTGACTTATGATTAAAAAATTTCGGTCGTTTAAATTACGATGGTATGGGACCATGTAGGAATGCTGGAACAAAATTTTGCGAAATTTTTCTGTTGTCGATAAGCCTTTAATCTATCCATCAGTGACCACTTCTACTTATTCTTTAAAAGCATATTGCAACATTGTGTCTGTTTTTACATGGCTGCCTACAGTATTACCGATAAGAATATCCAAGTATTTTTTTTAAAGAAATATCCTTAAATTTTTATTTTTAATTAAACGCGAAAAAAGATGATCCAAATTCCATCCAGTAAAAATTTCAACCCTGAATCTTTACATGGGAATCTATATGGCCACTTTTAAAAAAGATGCGCTGTAAAATAAGAGTACTGTTTCCAGCTTCTTGGCAAAATTAAATAAGCAGATTTTTAATCAACAACACAGTGTCGTATTGTGCCGCCGGGACACCGGGAAATTTCCCGGTGGGCCCCGAAACACTCTACTTTTTTTGATACAACAACGTTTTTCACATATATAGGATGTTACAATTACAAATGCAATAAATATTCCTAAAAATATAATAGACTCATAAAAAACTATATATGTAAGTATTAAATAAGAGCATTCTTTTACTTTCAGTACGAAACAATAGGTCTCCCGCTTCCGTCTGTCTGTCTGTCTGTCTGCCATCTGTCCGCATTTTTATTAGACAGATAATCTCCGAAATTACTGAACCAATTGTCAAATGTTATCTATACTTATATTATAAAGCTGAAGTGTTTGTTTGGTTGAACGCGCTAATCTCAGAAACTACTGGTTCGAATTCAAAAAATATTTTTGTGTTGGATAGTCCATTTATCGCATCTATATATAGACTATATAACATCACGCTACGATCAGTAGGAGCGAAGTAGCAATGAAAAATTCGGAAAAACGGGAAAATTATTCCTCCTTTGACAGCTTCCGTTGCTTACGCTGCTTAAACGGTTAAAGTTACCTAAAAATCATCTATGACGAAATTGTTCCCCTCTTAAAGTTTTAAAGAAAAGTCCGCGACAGCATATGTCTATCTTTTAAGGTCGACTCAGTATAGCCTTTTTTAAAGTAATGAAATTTGTTCTAAAATAATAATGCATTATGTATAAAATTCTCGCGTCACAGTGTTTGTAACCGAACTCCTCCGAAATGGGTTGACCGATTTGTATGAAATTTTTTACCTATATTCGGTAGGTCTGAAAATAGGTTGTAAACTATTTTCTATACCCCCAAGTGATAAGGGTGGCCCACCCTAAAAAATTTTTGTTTATTTTTTGGACAAAATTTTTTAATTTAATTTTTTTAAGATTTGGCATCAAAAATTACATATAACCCTAAATTTTCACCTTTCATAAAACTGTCATAGTTGTGGGTCAAGATATTGATCTTTTGGTCCTTTTGAGTCAATTGAATTCAAATAATTATGACATTTATTTTCTCAAGCCAAGTTCTGGAAATGTAAAAGATCAATTTTTCACGTCCAATAGTTTCAAATATGAATCCTTCAAAAATATCGTTGCATTTCTGCATTGTTTTTCTGATTGCGATACAACATCTGGATTTGCCGAAAAAGGAAAGAAAAACATCGTAAATTCATTATCTAATATATAAAATTCTTGTGTCACAGTGTTTGTAACCCAACTCTTCCGAAACGGTTTGACCGATTTTTATGAAATTTTTTGTGTATATTAGGTAGGTCTGAGAATAGATCTTAAGCTATTTTTTATACCTCAAAGTGATAAGGGTGGCCCACCCAATCTTTTTTTTATTTTTTGGATACATTTTTTTTAAGATTTGGCATCAAAGAATACATATAACCCTAAATTTTCACCCTTGTACCACCAACCCCCATTTTGTAATAACAATATGAGTATCTTTACTTTCATCCACAGATGCACAATAGGGTTGCAAAATGGTTGTTGAATATAATCATTGTCGTATTTGTATGTATAATTTATAATTTAATTTAAATATAATTTATTTATTTATTATAATTTAATTTTTTATTTAGCTACCAAAATATTCACTAGAAATAATTTATTTGGCAAAACAACGTTTGTCGGGTCGGCTAGTTAGATGATAAAAATTTGTCAAATTTGGCCAATATTTTTCTAAAAAACATGCAAACAAAGAAGACATCGCAAAGAATGGATTACAGTTATTCAAATCGATTTATAAACGTAAAAATGACAACCTAACAGTACCACTAAATCAATCAAGATTTCGAAAATGAATTAAATATTCTTTCATATTGGCAAATCTCCCACCAACAGAAGGTGTTTGTTCCATGGATTGGCAATTTTTTAGTTTATCAATGTAACATGGAATCTTACTGTTTTCGAGTAATTAAAGTGTAAATTTTAATGAATAGCTCAAAATTTTTTGATGATAAAAAAAAATTTTCGAATTCGAGTTTTTTCGTTTTTTTTTTGCATTTCCTGTGAAAATTTACCATAGTAATGTATATTTTTTACACCATCAGAAAGTAGAGATTCCAACGAACAAAAAGCACACCGATTTTTTTAAAAATCACATATGTATTTTGCCGTGAGAATTTTCGATTGAAAATTAGGGTGCTTTTGTGATATTAAATCAAAACAAGGGGAAAAAATAAATATTTTCAATAAAAAAAAAATACAGTGAGTTTTTGTGTTTTTGTGTGGGATAAAAATAAAAAACCAAAAACTCGATTATTTAGATTTTTCGCTTAAATTTTGAGGTTATGTGAAAAAAATGTAAATACAATAGTTGTAGATCTTTTTACTACCTATAACTTTGCCATGTATCTTTTTTCGATAGGACTTCTAGTTTTGCCTGAAATCGTGATCAACCATTTTCTACCCTTAAAAGCTCACCCCCTTCCACTTCCCGACCTCAGATCGCCTGTAAATTATTTTTCCTTATATTTTTGTTATACTGTATTCCTTTTCCACTAGGTATCATCCTGTTCTAAATTTTTTTGTTCTCAAAAATTATTGACCCTGGCCTATTAGTCCTAAGTTGTTTTTAAATAGGATTTTTGGGACGTTCTAGATGAAATTTCTAAATTGAAATCAGTAGAAAGTATAACGGACGTTTTAACGCACATTTTGTTTTCATCTATTTAAGCTATTTTTTATATTTTTTCATCGATCCTTTTTCTATTATAATATTTTTTTAAGCAAACAGACAATTTTGACGTTGAAGTTTTTTTATTTTTTTTGTAAAAGGTTTTTTGATGTATTTTTTTACCCATCATCCCATTTTTAAGATAATTGTTTTAAAAGTTGTGGATTTCTAAAGATTTTGGCTGGATTCCAGGGGATCCATATAGAAACTACTGACTTTAAGATTAAAAAAAAACATTTCAACCTCAAAATTGATGTTTTCTTAAAAAAATATATATAAAGCACCTTAAAATTAATTAAAAAACAAAATGTGAGGTGGTATCATATATATATTTAATTTTTATAGGATTGCAACCAAATTTCATTTTCTTTTAACTGCTAATGCTTGTAATCTGAACGTACAAACAGTCGAATTCGGTCAAATATAAAGATCAAGATTCGAAGTTAAGCAGATATATTTTACATTTAAGACGCAGGTATTGCGAGAATGTTAATTAGGCCACTTTTTAGAGGTTAACAGTTATCACAAAGTGAAAATTGCAATAGCTAATTGTATAATTTTTTAAAAAAGCGGAATTTGTCGGACTATACTGAAAGGGCGAGGAATATCCAAAATTGTTTAAAAACATGACAGCGCATCTATTTATGGGCTATGTACGAGTATCTGATCAAGATATATTCTACTTTAATATAATTTAAATAAATAATAATTAGAATAATTTTTTAAATATTATTTCGGGTTTATTAAACTCACATAAAACTGACAAATATTTATGGAGGCAATTATTAAATATTTGAACAATTAATAAATATCGTAGACATTCATAGACAATTTTGTTCACATTGTTTTTTTTTAATGTGTAAAGGTCTGGTGTAATTTTTATTTTATATCTAAAATCCGTTGACGTGAAAAACCCAGTGTAAAATAATAACACAGTAACGTGGGCCTACCACTTTCATGTGTCTGGAAAAAATAAATCATATTTGTTCTTTCCTGTCCTGTCAAATATTATACACTATACTGAACATTATTTGCAATAATACAAAATGTTCAGGAAAATTGTGCTA